GCCAGCCTGGTCTACACAGTGAGTTCCAGGGCCAGTCATGGCTACGTAGTGAGACCACGCTTTAAAAGAGAAAGAGATTTTAAAAAGAAACTAGCCTTATTTTGTGGTGCGTGCCCATAACCACAACATTTGACAGGTAGAGACAGGAGGCTCAAGGGTTCAAGTTGATCTTCTGCTGTATAGCAAATCCAGGTCAACCTGGATTACATTAGGCCCTGTCTCAAACAAAGAAAAAAGAAATTGAGATATAACTATGAACTTCATACTAAAGCACTTGAAAATTTTATGAAAATGGATAATTTCCCAGAGAGGAAAAGTTTCCAAAAATGTGCCTTAGATTAGGAACTCTGAATTACAAATGACTGTTTTTAAATACAAAAGAGCAGTGCATGGTGCATACTTGCAATCCTAGCACCTGGGAGGCTGAGACAAGAGGACCATAAATTCAAGGATAAATTAAAAAAAAAAAGTTTAGGGGCTAGAGAGATGGCTCAGCAGTTAAGAACATTGGCTGTTCTTACAGAAGACCCGGGTTCAAAACCCAGCACACACATGGTAGCTAACAACTGTCCGTAACTCCAGTTCCAGGGGATCTGACAGCCTCTTCAGTCCTACACAGGCATTGCACGACATGGGTGCACTTACCTACGTGCAGGCAATACACGCATACACATAAAAATAAAATATTTTTTAAAAAGTTTAAGGCCACCCTGTCCTAAATAGCTAGACTGTCTCAAAGTAAAATAAATTTTAAAAGGCTGCCTACAAAGCCTGCAAACATACAATGGTGAAATGTTGGTTTTACTTTGAGGTCAACGATTTATTATGTAGCTAATTAGCCCAACTCTAGTAGATGGAAACAACAAAATGTTTATCTCAGGATTCTGTGCGTTAGCAATTTTGCAAGTGACTTAATTGGATCAGGTTCCAATGAGCACCTTCTTGTGGGCTACAGACTACAATGTCTCCTATTCTCAAGGTTCAGGAAGCTAGAGGTTGCCAGGTCTGTGCACGTGTGTATGTGTTATGGTCCTGGGGCTATGAACACCAGCCTACCTCAGATGTAATGCCACAGGGCCTCATTTCTCTCTCTCTCTCTCTCTCTCTCTCTCTCTCTCTCTCTCTCTCTCTCTCTCTCCTTCCCTCCCCCCTCCCTTCTTTCCTTCAGTTGTTTTTGAGACAGAGGTTTCCTCTGTAGCATAGGTTAGCCTGGAACATGCACACACACACACCCTTACAGCTCATGACAGCCTTCCTCAGCCTTCCAAGTTCTGGTATTACAGGCATGGGCCACCATGTTTGCTTTTTTGTGGTACTTTAAATTCAGAGCCTTATACATGCTAGGCAAATGCTGAGGTACAGCCCCAGCCCACTTTTTCTTTTGAGATACTGTCTTGTGATGGCATGAAGTGTGGATGATGTCTGTGTGTCAGTACATTTCTGCATGTCTCCTGTTCAAGCCCTGACTCTCTCTCTCCCTTCCCCTTGCATTCAGGCATATTTTCATCCTCTTACAGTCTTTTTTTTTTTTGGTCTTTCTGAGACAAGGTCTCCCTATAGCTGCAGCTGGCCTGGATTCACTAATGGAGACCAAGCTGGCCTCGAACTCACAGAGATCTGCCTGCCTCTGCCTCCCAAGTGCTGGGATTAAAGGCATGCACCACCACGGCTTCCTCGTACAGTATTTTAAAATACCAATCAAATGTATACTGTAATCTATAGGAGACAAGAAGGCAGAAAGGTAGAAAAGGTGGAGTCTCTTTGTTCAGGGTTTCTGAGCTCCCACTACAGTCTCACTAAGTTGACTAGGCTGGCTTTGAATTCACATTATAGCCCAAGATATAATTTATAATCCTCCTGCCTGAGCCTCCTGAGTACCTGGGACTACAAGCACAGGACACCACACTTGGCTGTTCTCTTTATTCCTTCTATATCACTGAGGATCTGGGAAAATTTTTAAGGACTTATTGACAATGAAGACTTCTTAAGAGTGCACTTACCTACATGTAGGCAATACACACATACACATAAAAATAATAAAATATTTTTTTAAAAAAGTTTTGATCTCTGAACTCCTCCCCACCTAGCTCATCCATTACAACTTCTCTCTCTCTCTCTCTCTCTCTCTCTCTCTCTCTCTCTCTCTCTCTCCTCAAACTGAGCTCAAGTGATGATGGTGGATGTGCCACTAATTTCACTACTTTGGGACTTCGAACTTCTAGACAGGGGCACCTCCAGGTCTAGGCCAGCCTGAGCTCAAATGTTCCTCCAGCCTCAACCTCCCCAAGGCCAGGATTACAGGTATTTTCCACCACACCTGATTTCTTCTGACACTTTTGAGGGGAGTTGTTTGTTGGTTTTTAATTTTTAAAAATTATTTAAATGTTTTTTTTATATGTATGAGTGTATTGCTTGCATGTATTTTAAGTGCACCCCTGTCGTGCAATGGCCATGGATCCCCTGGAACTGCAGTTACAGACAGTTGTTAGCCGCCACGTGGGTGCTGGGAATTGAACAGGGTCCTCTGCAAGAGCAGCCAGTGCTTTTAGCCGCCCCATAAACTTAAATTATATTTTAATAGTTTATTTTCACAACTAATTGCTGTAAATGTTAACGCCTCTTCCTTTTCTTGCTAACAGCAGTCCTGTTCGTGCTTCTGGGCTCTTTCCAACTCACCTCCTCCATTTAAGTTTGCTGCTGGTCCCTACAATTACTGAGCTCTCGTTTTTTTTTTTTTTTTTTTGGTCTTTTTTGAGACAGGGTCTCCCTGTAGCCCCAGCTGTCCTGGAACTCACTATGTAGACCAGGCTGGCCTTGAACTCACAGAGATCCGCCCGCCTCTGCCTCCCAGAGCTCTTGTTTTTTACGCGCTCCTCCTCCGGCGGCTTCTACTCCTTCCAGGCTACCTTCTTTCCTCCCTGGCAAACCGAGGCCGGGGCTGCAGTTCCGGGATCTGGGGGCGCCCACGGACCTCGAGCAGCGACAGAGCCGAGAGCAGACAGCCGCCTGATGACAGCCAACGTAGTCATGACGCGTTGTTCCGAGCACCCACCCGGAAGACACGCCCATTCCTTCGCCCGGAACGCCGCAGCGGGACTTCTGCGCAGGCGTACTGGTGCGTTCAAGCGAGCGCGTGACTCCGAGCTAAAGGGCGGGGCTTCCCGTTCTGGGGTGTGGCGAAGGGATGCTGGCGCCCTCTTATTGGCCCTAGTGCTGACGGACGGGCGGGGACAGCTGGAGAATGATTTGCTACGTTGTTGCTTAGGAACAATCACTGGCCACAACATAAATACTAGGCAGTGGATCCCGGAAGGAGGGTGTTGCACATTTGGTCTTAGCTAGGGCAGGATGGCGCAGCTTGGTTTTTCTCCCTGCCAGAACTGGGACCGCTGAGTCTGCGTCTCTGGAAAGGTGTCCTGCTACCGGTGCCACAGAGGACCTGTTAACTGCCCCCCCCCACCCCCCACCCCCCGCGTCCCCAGAGTGTAGTCATTCTAATTCTTTCGTCCCCAACCATGAAGCCCAAGGTTCCCGGGTCCCTGTCGCTGCCACCCCTGGTTCAGCTCAGGACAGGAGTTCCAGCCCCATTTGATGGACAGGACAGTCTGAACGGCCACAGTCTCCATCTGGGCTTGCTGCTGACTAGACATTTAAAAAAGCAAATGTGACCCGGGCGTGGTGGCGCACGCTTTTAATCCCAGCACTCGGGAGGCAGAGGCAGGCGGATCTCTGTGAGTTCAAGGCCAGCCTGGTCTACATAGTGAGTTCCAGGACAGCTGGGGGTACAGGGAGACCCTGTCTCAAAAAGACAAAAAAAAAAAAAAAAAAAAAAAAAAAAAAAAAAAAAGCAAATGTGAGCATATCCTCTTCTTGTAAGCTCTCACTGTCGTTTTATCTGTCTAGGGTCCAGAGCAGGACCACCGAACAGTGAGACCGCTTTCGCCGCTGTGCCTGTGCCTGACACCTTCCTCCCGCCTGCTCCTGCCTCTGCCCCCTGAGAAGCTTCACATTTCTGCTCTGACAGGCCATCCCCCAGTACACCGTTTTGCCCCCAGCCCAACTTCCACCGCACCAAGGTCCTTCCCTGCTCAGAGCACACGGGCACCCTGGCCACTGTTTACCACACTTACTACAACTGCAAACAGGTTCATGGACTGTGAATACTTTCAGGCAGGGGCTGTGTTATTTTTAGATGTGTAATCCCCAAGTCTTATTATAGGATCCTAGACAGGGGTTCAGCAAATGGGTACTGAATGAATCGTGGGAACTCCAAGGCCGGAAAGTGATTTAAAATACCAGGCTGGGGCTGGGGAGATGGCTCAGTAGATAAACTGCCTGACATGCAAGCATGAGGACCTGAGTTTGCATCCTTAGCTCCTAAGGTAAAAACCAGGGGTGGTGGCATGATTTTGTAACCCTAGCTCTGGGGGTTGGGGGGATTGGTGGAAGAGGCAGAGACAGGGGGATTCTTGAGGACTGTCAGAGCTCACTGGTCAGCCAGGCTAGCCATTGAGTGAGCTCCAGACTCAGAAACCCTATCTTGAAAAATAAGGTGGAAAGCATAAAGAGAGACAACTCTGACTTCTTTCACACACAAGTGCATGTCTACAAACACAAAAACACACATGCTACACACAACATTTTTTAAAAAATAGGCTGGTCGGGCGTATACCTCAGTGGTAGAGCATGTGATTAGCTGTTGAGGCCCTGGGTTTTGATCCCAAGCACTGCAAACTAAAAATCCAGTCTGGGCTGTGGTTTCTTGGGCTCCTCAAGGACATGGATTGATTATCTTTTTCACCTTGAATCCTGACAGCTAACTAACAAGGAAGTGCTCCTTTTTAAATATCTGATTAAGGTCATGATGACAAGGGAAGTCAAGCCATTTAGTTATGGTCCTACCACCGCCTTTGGAACATCTTCTGTTCAGTCAGTGGGGGCAGGGGAGTGGGAGCAGGGCAGTCTTAGGAGGGTGTGTTGTATGTTACAGACAAGGAGGATGCCAAATCCAAGAGACTTTTATTGTAATGAGTGCTCAAGGAGGGTGGAGTAGGGTGGGGTTCCCCCATCTAATCCTCCAAGGCTCTGGGTGACTCATTCCTCAAACCCAGGGGCGGAGCTGATATTTGTTCCCCCAGTTGGGCCCTGTTCCCCCTGACCCTTGGCATCCCCAATGTCTCCAGTCACTAGAGCCACATTCCTCAGATAATTTGTGTTGAAGCAGTTGGCCTGCTCATCCCCAGGAACCAGGTCACAGCAGAGGGCAGAATCTTTCCAAGAGTTCCTTCGGGGACCACAGAGATCGTCAACATAGGCTAGTTTCTGAAAAATCAGAAGAGTGAGGCAGAGTGTGGGGGAGGCCAGAGGTCAGGCATGGATACCTGGGTACCATAACTCCTCTTTTGGTCAGCTTCTACTGCTTTCCCCACTGGATCCCCTCCTGATCAAGCAAGGTGGCCTTGTACAGTTAGATTCCTTGTGACTGACAGCTGACTGACAGGTGTGCATATCTGGAAATGCCAGAAGTTTGAGGCCCAGGGAAGGCATAATAGGAACTTAGGAATGGGAGCATATCGGATCAAGAAGGAAGATTCTGGAAGCATGAGGAGATTCCTTCCATACATCCTCTTATTTCTATGAGCAGTTCTGACATACCAAAAAGAAGGGGCAGCCTTTACCTTACCTTCTTCCTCCCCCCTACATTTCTCTGGAGAAGATGACCCTCTTCCCACACACTCACCTCCTCTTCAGCACAGCAGGCCTGTTCTGGGAATGGCAGGTCACAACAGCGGGAGGTCATATTCTGGATTAGTCCAGGAATCTGTTTACTATGGTTGGTATGAAAAAGGTAGGACTCAGGGTCTTTGTGCATTCCTATCATCCAAATGGTGCTGGGGCCAGGTGTGGTGGCTTATGCCTGCCACACCATCACTTGGGACACTGAAGCAGAAGGACCAGCCTGTGCTACATAGTGAATGAGTACAAGACTAGCCTTGACTGCTGAGTGAAACCTTGTCTCAAAACAACTCTCCCCCACCACAAACCCACCTAAATAGTCTTGAGAGACTATGATTTTGCTCTCTCCAAGGGGACCCCAGGAGGGAGGTTTTGGGGCAAGAAAGAGGACTGGGTAGATCAAGGCAGACTCACTACTTGGTCAGAATTCTTCTGTTTCCACAGAGATGGCTCATGAGGTTGGGGGTGACTCGGCTGAGGTCAAGGGTCAAGATGTCCCGGTCATAGTTGGGATAGGGAGCCCGGTGGGCAAAGCACTCATCTCGGGCAGGGCTAGGAGGGTAGTGGCAACATGAGTGGCTGTGGGTCTTTATAGCCTGTTCTCGTTCACAGTACCCATCCAGCGTATCTTCCCACTGTGGACCAGAGAGAAGGAATCAGAGGCCTGGATACTTGGCTCCCTTTCCCCTCACCATCTACTTTCCTGATCACTCCCAGCTATAAGATGAGGCCCCAGGGACCAAAAGGGGAGGATGAAGAGCTAGAAGGCAAGGAGGCAGCTGTGGATGTGTGGGCTTGGGAAGGTGGAAGGGAGGAAGCATGGATGAGGTTCCCAGTAGCCACTGGAGATGAGCTGGAACAGTAGATGGAGAGGATCAGGTGAGGCCAGAGATGGATGGATGGATGGATGGATGGATGGATGGATGGATGGATGGATGGCAGGCAGGCAGGCAGATGCATATGTGGGATCACAGGTCGATGAGGCCAGGACGGTAACATGAAGGCTCAAGATGAACAGACTCAGGTGACAGACACAATGAATGGATGGACAATCACAAACAGATGAACGTGGATGAGCTCATGGGGAGGAACATGGCAGGCTGGCTGGTAGAATCAGCGATTGGAGCTAGGCGGGCAGCCAGGCAAACAGGCTCCAGAGGGGGGCTGGGACGCCCACTTACGGCCTTCCATGTACAGGTGTAGTTGTGTCCCTGGCGACAGCAGCTCTGGAACTCCATCTCCAGCCGAATCAGAGCATGCAGCTGCCTTTGGAGGGGGTCAGTAGCTGGGAGGTTGCGTGGCACAGAGCGGAAGCGCCTCAGCTGACAGATGTTCTTGACATTGTCCAGTGTGGGCAACCCAGGGGGGAAAGGCAGCTCTAGCCCTGAGGAAATGCCAGGCTGGTGGCTGGGGCAGGCCCGGAGTTGGTAGTGTGGCTGAGGGGCTTCCTCTTGGAAGCAGGAAAATCGCTCCTCCCCCTGCTGTTTGCAGCACCAGTGGGGTCGGGTCTTGACAGAGAATTCAGCCTCACAGAACCGGTTCATTGTATCCTCCCACTAGAGTGAGAGGGGTGGGTCAGCCCAGAAGCCTATTGTCCACATTTCTCCCTTCCTTCCAGGCTCTAGGAAAGCACTCTAGGCCAGTAAATAAGGAAGCAGAACTGGCTGCCCCCTGTTCTCCTGGCTTTCTGGGAGGCCTGAGCTACCTCAGGCCTGTGAAAGGGACCTGAGGTCTTCTGTACCCAGGCTGAGGTGTCAAGCCCTTAAAACACATACATACTGGCTGCGCGAGGTGGCCCATATCTTTAATTCCAGTACTTGGGAGTACTAACTCCAATTCCAGGGGATCTGACATCCTCTTCTGACCTCCGTAGGCATTGCACAACACAGGTGCACTTACACACATGCAGACAATACACTCATACACATAAAATAAAAATAATCTTAAAAAGACCATGAAAACAAAACAAAAAAACCCCACCCAAATCAAATCAAATAAAATCAAATCCCCCAAACCCCACACACTTACGGTTAAAGGACGCCCCCAGCATCGACAGTCAAACCCTTACCACAAGTTTTGCACAGTCCAGACGGTTTGCGTGACTGCGGCAGCGGCAGCAGCGGGAATATCCAGTCTCCAGCAAATTAAGGCTCTCTCCCTGGCGGCTAAGGTGGGAGTAGCCAGTCTGTGGTAAGTTCCAGGGGCCATATACCACATGTTGGCGTTCAGGAAGGCAGATCTGGTTCAGATTGTCTGGAGAAGGTCGTCCAGGGGGGAAGCCATCCAGCCGGTAGCCCCATCCCCCACGGGATCGGCCCTGTTGGCAATGCTGGGCTGGATTCCAAGACTGAGGCTCTGGAGGGTGCTGGCCCACTAAGGGGACTGGCTTTTCTAGAATGAGGAAACAGAGTGGGAAGCAATGAGAAAGGTTAGATGAGCTGGGAGCAGAATTTGGGTCGATGATGAACTGGGAGCAGAATTTGGGTTGATGAGGGTTGGGAGGATGTCTAAGGAAATAAACTAATCTGTGCCTCTTAGCTTCAGAGTAACTGAAAGGAAAAGAGAATTGAAGTGTGAATTGCATTACCCTTGGAGCCATCCTTCCTCTCTGTTAGCTCCGGGCACTGTTTCCTTCTCTCTCCAGGGTTCTGAGCCTGAGGGCTAATGCAGGGGGACAGATAGACTGGTGCTATCACTCACCCTCTTTCTGCCTGGATTGCACAATCTCTTTCTGCCGTGGCACTGACGGGTCTCCTGGGGTAGAAGGAGATGTGTAACTAAAAATGCTGTTGCGATGGGTCTCTTTAGAAGACAGTCACCTGGCTGGGTCCCATTTATGAAGAGGAACTCAGTAGAGAGGCAAGTGAAAGACAAATGCTATTTTATGTCATTTAATCACATAGCTGAAATAGGCATTATTTTTTCCTTCCTCCCTCCCTCCCTTCATCCCTCTCTCCCTCCCTCCCTCCCTTCCTTCCCTTTTTCTTTTTCTTTTTCTTTTTGAGTCTCAAGTATTCCAGGCTAGTCTTGAACTCCCTATGTAGCTGAACTTCTAATGTTTCTGCCTCCTCCTCCCAAGAGCTGGGATTACAGGCATGTGCCACCACACCCAGTTGATGCAGTGCTGGGGATCAAACTCAGGGATATGTGCATGCCAGACAAGCACTCTACCAATTGAGCTGCATCTCCAGCCCTACCATTATTTCTTCAGCTGTACAGATGAAGAAACTAAGGCTTGAAGAAGTAAGCAACTCAACAAAAGTTACACAACTATTAAGTGGCAGAGCTCCCCATCTTGTCTACCTCCAGAGCCCTTGCTCTGGGGTTGAGCTGTGGGGTGAAGAGCAGAAGACATCACTTACTCTCCGTCTGTTCAATAGGGAGTTGGGGCCTGGGTTGCTCTTCCTGGAGGGGTATGGTTTCCGGAGGGAGAGGGGGATGCACTGCAAGATGGGTAAGGGCACATAGGAGTGTGGATCAGACCAGTGTCACCACGACTGCAGTGGGTGGGGGCAGGAGAATAGGCAAGTACTCACCTTTATTTTCAACAGTGGGCCACTCTTCCTCCTGGACAGGGATGGCTTCAGGAGATGGGGGGGGCTGCACTACAAAATTGGGAGTGTGAATAGCCTACCCCTTCTAGCCAAACAGGGAGGGGAGAGACGTGTTCCCTCCTCCCCATCTGAAGAACAGGAAGTAGGCCAGATTATAGACCTAGAGGGCAGCTGAGAAGGGTTGCAGTAACCTTACTTTCTCTTTGTTCCTCAAAGGGAGGGTCATGCTGAGAAGTTTCAGGGTGGTCCATGGGGAGACTTCGGGTTCTGGGTGGGGAGGGGGGTGCTGCATAACCAACTAGAGGTAAGAGGGGAGACAGAGTCTATAAGCTAGCTCTTCCTAGACTCCCAATCTCATAGTATTCCCCCCAAATACTATGTCCATACCATCCTGAATGTTCATGACCCTATCTGATCTCATAAGCTAAACAGGGTTGGGCCTGGTTAGTACCTAGGTGGGAGACTCTTACCTTCTTTTTTATTGAGACAGGGTCTTACTATGTAGCCCCGGCAGGCCTAGAACCCTCTATGTAGACCAGGCTGGCCTCCAACTCACAAAATTCAGCCTGCCTCTGCTTCCTGAGTGCTAAGGTGTGCACCACCACACCCAGCAACTCTTACCTTCTTGAAGGTACTGGGAGAAGTATTCTGGCTTCATCTCTCTTTGTCCTGGACCTTTGAGGCCTGGAGGAAGGAAGAACAAAATAGGGGTAGTTTTGAGGGGCCCTTTTCTGACCCTGAGCAAAAGATGAAAAGGCTGTGGAGACCAAGAATGTAAAAGACCAAGGTAGAGAACTACTTGTTTTGTACCTGTTCCATGTCCCCTCTTTCCACACAAACCTATGGTATTCCTATGGCTCTACCTGGCTCACATGTTGGGTCTAAAGGACATAGGGGGCTGGGGATGGAGGTCCTAATGTCCTCTGACAGTGTCTTTCTCAAGCCTCGTGGCTGTCCTCTTCATAGCCACTGATGTTATGCTTCTCTGTCTTTCAGAGGGAGAAATCTAACTTGGAGTTGGCTGTGGGCGCAACACCCCCACCCCAAGCCTCTTCTTATAAGCCTCTTCTTCTTAAACATTTTTGGCCTTCTGACAAGAAGCCCAGCCAGATGTTTGAGTGTCTTCCTGTAGTTAATCTCAGTTCCCTACCTTAGGTCTCTTCTACACACACAAACACACACACACACACACACACACACACACACACA